TTGCCAACGAAAATCAGCCCCCAACCATTCGTACGCAAAGATGTAGATTCATGCACTAGGATTTTGATGTGTTCCGTAGGTGGACATGTGGCCTTATTTGGTTGATGGTTTCATTTGGTAGAGCTCTAGCAGATTCTAGCTTAGCTTCTTTTGTGTACTGTAGTAATAAATTATTTTTATCTCTATTCCTAAAATGAACAAGGAGCCAATAAAGTTACTATTTTTTTTTGCTTCGTCGTTTCTATCTCCTCCAGTGAGCCGGAACTATTTAAAGTCGTACCAAACAGGACCAAAGTTAAATACCGAACATGACCAAAGTTAAAAACATCTCACATATTCGTGCATTCCTACACTCTCTACACTCTCTTCACTCTCTATCCTCTCTCGGCGTCATTTTTTATCCACCATCCCACTGGTTTTTTGAGTTTTGACAGATGCTGCCTGGACGGCTTTGGACTTTTTGGCCGCGCCTAGCTAGCCGACTACATGTCTACTGTCTAGGGATAGCAACGGAAAAATCCCCATCGGAGATCACTTCACCTCCCTGTCCCACGGGGAAAATAACTCTCCGACCCCATCCTCGTGAACGTTCACAGGAGATGTTTTCTCCCTGTCCTCGCTCCCCGCGGGGAATTTAGACTCGGCAGGGTCCCTGTCCCCTTCCCGTCCCGGCGTAAATTGCATCCTAAATTAAAACATTGCAGTCATTAGAAAGGTAACAACACACAAGATACACTTGCGCACAAGTAGTCCAGCACATAGTGATAGCAACACAACATTGATTGAGGTATACAAGTCCATGGCACTTGGCATATAGGCTAAATTTGTAAAGAGAAAAAAAGGACTACGGAAGAGCTGTGGAGGAAATTAGGATACGCAGCATGCTTCAATCAAATCCCACGAGTTGTAGCAGGAGATAGGAAGGCCAAAATATTTTAATGGTTGGAGACCAGGAGAGCAGGACACCAGTATCAAACCCCAGCGATCTAGAGCACGGCACCGGATCTGAAGATTTGCTGGTGACTTACGCCCATGCAGCTTCAGTGTTCGTTGTTGTGCACGCTGTCGCTCGATGTGCGCCTCACGTTTATCGTGGGCTCGTGTGGCTCCCATTCGTCGGAAGTGGGCGAGTGGTGGCCATTAGAGATTCACAGCAAGCCTAATAATAAAGACAAATATTGGCCTATATAAATTAAACTGTAAAAGTCAAACTATACATTCGTTTCTTTTTATTTGTTTATAAAAAAAATTATTGCTACTTTTATCCTAGGGTTGGGCGAGAGACGCTCTACTAGACACCTCAAGAGGGAATGAGGGAGGAGAGAGAGGGAGCGTGGGACCCACGTGTCGGTGCGGGGCATATCGCACGAGGGCAAGCCGAATCGGAGGCACGCAGAAACTGGAGTGTTGATGATTCATGTTTGATCTTTTTAGAAGTAGATATAATTCCTTGTTTGCTTGAACTACTTCACCAGTATTTTTCAGCAAACGCAGAGTGTTTTACTCTCACAACAAATTAACATAAGCATCAGCATAAGCTAAATTTCAACAAAATGGTAATCCTGAATCGCGAGCCCAATCATGTTTGACAATTGACACTCTTCTACCATACTTTAATGATTACAGAGCTTGGGAATGCGGCCGGCTTCATCCATGATGCCAACCGCGAGTTCGCCGCCGTCAGCGTCTCCTGCCCGGCTCATCGTCTTCTACGTCGCGCTCTACCTGCTGGCTCTGGCGCAAGGCTTCTACGGGCCATGCGGGGAAGCCTTTGGCGCGGACCAGTTCACGTCTAGCGACAGCGGCGAACCCAGCGCGCCTGCGTTCCGGAGCTCCTACTTCAACTGGTTCCACTTCTCCATATCCTGGGGCTATGCCATAGCGTCGGCCGGGCTGAGCTACGTCCAGGACAACGCCGGCTGGACCGTCGGGTTCGGCGCGTGCTGGACCGCGATGGTGCTATGCCTTGCCGTTTTCTTATTTGGCACGCGGACGTACCGTGCCAAGCAACCCGCTGACGGCGGCACGTTCGCTGAGACCGTGCGCGCGTGGGTCGCGAGGGTCTTCCGTCGCAAGGATAGCACTCCAACTGAAAGGTGAACACGAGCAAGAGCAAACACTTTTACGTTGTATTGCAGGCACGTGTACGTCATAGAGGGGTCTTGTCCTGATGGAGCTTCTTGACTTCATTCTGTAGGCTTCTAGCTTCACAACGTGAGAGCGGAGGTGGACTCGTAGCTAAGCTTCTCCCGATATGGTTGACGAGCTTAGTCTTCGCGGTCATCTTCTCGCAAGTGTCCACTCTGTTCACCAAGCAGGACAGCACATTGGACAGACACCTTGGCCGCAGCGCTCCAGTGCTTGACCAACACCACCTTCATCGTCATGCTTCCCTTATACGACCGCGTCATCGTGCCCTTCGCGAGGCGCCTCACAGGGCACGCCTCGGGCATCACGATGCTCCAGCGCATCGGCGCCAGCATGGCCACGTCCTGTGTCGCCATGGTCGTCGCGGCGCTCGTGGAAGTCAGGCGGCTCCGCGTGGCCAGAGACGCGGGCCTGGTCGACCGGCCGGACGTGGCTGTGCCGATGAGCCTGTGGTGGATGATTCCGCAGTACGTTCTCATGGGCCTCGCCGAAGTGCTGGGTCAGGTTGGTCTCGAGGAGTTCTTCTACGACCAGGTGCCCGGCACTCTCCGCAGCGTCGGGCTCGCGCTGTGCCTGAGCATCTTTGGCGTTGGAAGCTACGCCAGCAACCTGCTTGTTTCCGTGATCGACTGGGCGACGAGAAGCAAGGCGCCAGCTGGTTCTCCGACAACCTCAACCGAGCGCACCTTGACTGCTTCTACGGGCTCCTGGCAGGGCTCGCGGCTCTGGAGGTAGCCGCGTTCTTGCATTTTGCAAATCGATACGTCTACACAAACAAAGCCGAACTGTGAATCTGTGATTCTTGAAACTTTGCAAGTATAAAAATACTTTGCGTCATGGAACGTCACGGATGCACTTCGCAGAGCGGTATTCCAGAGGGCAAGTTTCATATGGCTCCAACTTCAACTAAAACAGCTCTAGGGATATCTTCTCTGATGAAACGATTGTTTCTAGCTCCAGTTTCACTGGTAAGAAAATGTTTGATAAAACAACTTCTTCGAGTCGTTGAAAAAGGTGAAATGTCCACAATACTCTTATTTTAATCTTTGCTTCTCTTTGTCTCCACTTTATGCTCTCCCACGCCACCAACCCACCATCGCACAAGTCTCCATTGAACGACGATGTCCTCGCTGCCTTCGGCGACATCCTGACTGCCAACCAATGCCAAGAGCAGGCGTGAAGCGTGAACCCGAGTGGCGCCCGAAGCTCCCTCTTCTCGGCCGTCGAGGCGAATCAGACATCACCCCGCGTCGGACCCACGGGATCGAGAGGGTGTCAGGCGAAGGTACTAATTTTCGACTCCTCTCCCTTCTCACTCCTCGACATGATTCACAGAGCTTCTTCAGCGACGTAGAGCGAAAGGGGGTAGGGGGTGGCGCTCATTCGGAGCTGCTCAAGGAGTGCTACCAAACACGGCCAAAATTTGTGACTTCTCCCATCGGACTTCTCTCACAATGTTGTTTCGTGAGTCAGTGTGTTTGGCAAGGCTTCGCCTAAGAAGCTAGAGAAATCACAGCGGAAGCCCCTTGGGACCATGGCCTGCTAAATAGCTGAATAGAGCCCATTGGTAGGGCTTCTAAAATAATTTAGGCCCCGTTTGGCTGGCTGCGGGCGGCTCCGGCTCCTGCGCCGAAATCACTGTTCATCTATACGTATTTCACTGTTCATCGAGGCCGTTTTCCTCTCTCCTTTCCTCCCCTCTCACAGACGCCGCCGCAGCAGCCGGAGCCAGAAATTCGAGCTTCACCGGCTCCAGCTCCCGTAGCCTCCTATCGGCCGCCCAGCGACCGACACCTTGCTACAGTGCCGGAGCCGGAGCCCACGGGAGCCCGGCCAAACGGGGCCTTAGGCTCCATCTTCTCAAGAAGTCATACCAATTCGGGTAAAAAGAACCGCTTCACCTCTGAAGCTACTAGAATCTAGAGCCTTTATTGAACTAGATAGAAGATGAAGACAATTTTTTTTAGCATTTATACAATCTCATTCTCTCGAAAATCTCTCTAAAGCAGTTTTAGTGTTTTATCAAATATTTTTTTAAAGTCCTTTAGCTCCACTAGACAAGCTACTCCACCAAAGGAGCTAGAAGCGGATCCATTTTAGTAGGAGCTAGAGCTCTTTAAAGGGCCTATTTGGTGTCAGATCCAACAAAAATAGCTCAGTTATGACTTTCTCTGAAGAAGCAATTATTTTTGCTCCAGATTCTCTGGTTAGAAACATGTTTAGTAATGGCTTCTCCTGGTCGTTGAAAAAGGTGAAATATTCATGATATCGTTCTCTTTTTTCTTCTTTTTCTTTTTTTATTTGTTCTCTTTTCTTCCTATTCTCTCTCCACCTTACACGGTTTCCATGCACCGCTTCCCTTCTCAGCGGCCTCCTCGGCGCCCGCCCCTGCTTTCATGTGCTGCCGTCCTCCCTATTGGCCTCCCCGACACCCTCTAGCCCCACTATCGGCGAACTATGTTCTCCTCGCCCTGCTTGCATGCGCGGCTATCCAGGGAGCCGGTGCAATCTTGTTTTTTCAGCGTATTTTGTATGACTTCGCTTACAGATCTGGGTGAAGTTGCTGTTGCTCCCGTTTGGTTGTTGAGATGCTGGAGTGAAGCGGCTCCTGGAACGGGTGGAGTCTGGAGACGCTCCACCCGACGGATTCAAAATAGTTACTAGTATACAACTATGTATAATATAAACTAAACTAAAATATACGAGGGATTCCAATAAACAGCTCACGTTGGAAACCATCAACTGATTATATATCGCCCACGCCTATGCACGTGATCATGTTTCGGGGGTCAACAGAGCCGCCCGAGCCATTTTATACGCCAGCCGGAGGCAGCGCTCCCGGCGGCGCGGCCATGGAGTCCGGCGGGTTCCTTCCCCGACCCGTTCCGTGCGCCGGCTCCGAACCAGCCGACAGCCGCGGCGGCGGCTGGCGTGCAGCGCGCTTCCTCCTAGGTAATCTTCAAGATCTTGACTCAGTTTTATCGCCTCATCACTTATAAGCTACTCCTACTACTGAACTACCTCGGCTTACCTTTGCAGCTGTCGGGTTCTTGGAGCGAATCGGATTCTATGGTGTGCAGGCGAACCTGATCATGTACCTGAACGGCCCGCTTGGCATGTCCACGGCGGCCGCCGCTGCCAGCGTGAACGCGTGGGCCGGGACGGTGCAGGTGCTGCCGCTGGTCGGCGCGCTCGCCGCGGACTCAAGGCTGGGGCGATACAGAGCGGTCCTAGCCGCCGGCGTGCTCTATCTGCTGGTCAGTCTTCGAAACACATTATTTGATTTGCTTTCTGTCCAGTTGTACCGTAGAATCTTGCAATATACTGTTTGTTGTACAAAAGAATTGCGATGATTTTGACTGTGTATAGTATAGCAATTATTGGTAACACAAGCCAAAAGGCTTGCCTAAACTTTTGCCCTTAAGTAGCATCGATCTTATCTTAATTAGCTTGATTAAATTTGGCCCTTAAGTAACATAACCTTCGGTTATTAAGCCATCTCTACTATGCTTGTCTACTCTATAGACTGACTGACGACTGTTCATGCCGAACTCTGAAACAGTAATGTCACGCCGATGCCGTGCTGTTCGCATTTCCTTTTAGAAGCAAAAGGTTTTTAGTCGGAAATCTCCAGTCCCAGTTTCTGAAATCTCTCCTGTTGAAGATGTCACTTGCAAGTGTCAATTCCATCAAAAATTCTGTTCGCCTGTTAGACAGACGCACACGGTTACAATCCTCAATTAGCCGTTGATATGCAGCACTTTTGTACTCCTACATCATGACTTGACATCGGTTACCAAACTGCAACGATTATCGACAGAGCTTGGGAATGCTGACGGTCTCATCCACGCTGCAAACACCGCAACCTCACGCCGGGAGCTCCTCGTCCTCCTCCCCTTCCTCTGCCCGGCTCGCCTTGTTCTACATCGCGCTCTACCTGCTAGCGCTGGCGCAGGGCTTCCACCGTCCGTGCGCGGAGGCGCTCGGCGCGGACCAGTTCGAGGGCGACAGGAATGCGCCCGCCGCGTCCCGGAGCTCCTACTTCAACTGGTTCCATTTCTCCATATCATGGGGCTATGCCATCGCCACCGCGGGCCTGAGCTACGTCGAGGACAACGTCGGCTGGACCATCGGGTTCGCCGCGTGCTGGGCCACGATGGTGTTATATCTTGCAGTCTTCTTGCTTGGCACACGAACATATCGTGCCGACAAAACCGTCAGCGGCAGATCGTTCTCTGAAACCGCTTGGGACTGGGCGGCCAGGGTCCAGCGTCGCAAAGACGCCACCGATACCACCGAACGGTGAGCATCAACGTCTGCTTACTTTCGGTTGCAGTTAATGTGACATAGAGGTGTCATCATCATAATGCACGTTCTTGACTTGTGATTTGTGAAGGCTGCTTGTAGCTCCAGAACGTGAGGAGGAAAATAAAGGGCTCGTCGCTAAGCTGCTCCCGATATGGGTGACGAGCCTAGTCTTCGCGGCCATCTATTCGCAGCTCTACACCCTGTTCACCAAGCAGAGCAGCACGCTGGACCGGCGCCTCGGCGGTGCCACGGGCCCCGTCGTGCCGCCCGCGGCGCTCCAGGTCTTCGTCAGCGTCACCATGATCACCGTGCTCCCAGTCTACGACCGCGTGCTGGTGCCGCTCGTGAGGCGCTTCACGAGGCACCACGCGGCCATCACGCCGTTCCAGCGCATCGGCGCCGGCATGGCCATGTCAGGCGTCATCATGGTCGTCGCTCGTGGAAGGCGAGCGGCTCCGCGTGGCGAGGGACGCGGGCCTGGTGGACCGGCCGGACGTGTCGCTGCCGATGAGCCTGTGGTGGGTGGTGCCCCAGTACGTCATGATCGGTGTCTCAACCGTGCTCGCTGAGATCGGGCTCGAGGAGTTCTTCTACGACCAGGTACCCGACGCGATGCGAAGCGTCGGGCTCGCGCTGTCCCTCAGCGCCATGGACGCGGGGAGCTACGCCAGCAACGTGCTTGTTTCGGTGATCGATTGGGTAAGGGGGGATTCCCCGTGTGACGTTAAAAAAGATCGTAATGACCTGGGTGCCCTTTCGGAGAGCCGAGAGCTGGTTCTCTGATAACCTCAATCGAGCACACCTCGACTACTTCTACTGGCTCCTGGCAGGGCTCGCCGCTTTCGGGGTGGCCGCGTTCTTGCATTTTGCAAGCAGATACGTCTACAGAAAAGTCCTATGAAGCTACAACAACTGAGATCGTTGAGCAAGCATACCGCAACAGAAAGATTTATAACCGAATAGGCCTGCATGAATTCTTATACAAATTTGTTTTGAGTAGAATGTACTATTTCCTCTGTCCTATAAAAGCATTTTCAGGAGTTTGGTATATAGTTTACTTGCTAAATTAAAAAATCTAACAAGCTAACATAAGAAATACCAATCTTAAATTTTGTCCTTCTCCAACACTCTCATATAGTAGTTTCCTAAACGATTTTTGGCTCGTCCGGGCGCACATCTCGCGCCCCATCCAAAAATATGGAAATGAGCCCCGCACACGACCATCCTGCGCCAACACCCCGCATCCCGGACACCACACCGCTGCTCGCATCGCACCACGGCCCCGCCCCGCGTCCCATCCCGCTCCAGCGCCTCCAAACTCCACGTCTAGGTCGAGCTCGTGGCGAGATGGAGGGAAGGGAAGAGAAGGAAGGGGGAGAGAGAGAGGGAGAGAGTGGAGAGGAGAGGGCAAGGCGCGCCGCGCGAGGTAAGAGTCAAAGCCATGCTGCAAGCCATTGTCCGCCAGCCACTGGCGTCATTGCAATATGTGCAACATCTAGTCTACTTTTAAAACATTCAGATGAAACATTTGCAACATGTGCCTGTAGACACACGAAACGCTTGAAACATGTGTCTGAAACACTTGCAAAAACACCTGGAAATACTTGAAAAAGCCATTGCAAAACATATGCAGCATCCAGATAAAACGCTTGCAACATATGTGTAAAACATATGCAACATCCAAATAAACACAGTTCTGGAAAAAGATGAAATATTTGGAACAGACGCTTGCAACATACGTGTATAGCAATTGCAACATATGCAACATCCCGATCTACTTTCACAACATCCATATAAAACACTTCCAGCATACCTCTAAAACATCTAAAACACTTGCAACATGCATTTTTCATCCTTTTTCTTCCGTACGACGCAGAGTAGAGCAGGGGAACGACCGGTTCCGGCCAGCCGGTGGCTGAGGATGGTGCGCATGTCCTGGTAATGGCCAGCTGCGCCTGCGCCTAGCCTGGGTCTGACCGGCGACGGCCCCCTCTCTTGGGCACGTGGAAACATCCGCTGGCCGACGCATGTGCGGCTGCTGCTGGGTTGGCCCGGCTAGCCAGCGGTAGCGGCGAGCGACCAGACCCTTGCGGTGGCGAGGAAGCGCAGCGAGGCACGAGGAAGCTCTGCTCTCCCCGACCATGGCAGATGCAAGGCAGAGAAACGAAGAATGAGAGAGATACCGGTCGGGGGCGCGCACCAGGGGGAGGGGCGCGGCAAGAGTGAGGGGCGAGAGGCGCGGCAGCAGCGAGGCAGAGTAGGCGCGCAACATCGGGACGGATGGACGCCCGCGTCCTATCATTATCGTTTTTTATTAGCAAGCCTGAACTATTTCTAACCGGCCAAACTTTTTTAATAGTTTGTTTGTCTCTTGCCACTTTCTCATTTAGAACCCTTTATTATTTCAATTTACTCATGCATCCAGTTTACTTCAATCTCCTGAGAAAAATGTTGGACAGAGAGCGGATACGGAGTTTCTATACACCGCAGAAACCTACGAGAACATATTTGACAACTTTTTATTTTCAAGAAGCTCTATTAGCACACTATTGGAGGTTTTTTTTTTTGCTAAAAACTCAAAATAGGGAGTTGTTTTACAAAACTCCAGAAGATGCTCTGATATAATGTGATCAAGCAGTTTTAGTACTTCATAGTTCATAAAGTCATGCACGTATACGGTATATCAATGATTTTGGCTATTAATTATATACGAGTTATTTTGAATATTTGAACAACATTTTCTGTTTTGCCACCTCGTTGAGAACAACTTGAGTTCGCCATGGCTTGGGAAGCAGCAGCTAGCTGATTGAATTATTGCGATTCCGTCGAGGGACGGATGCGTTTCACCAATCTAAACGCACCCTAAAGTCACTGAATACTACTACTACTAATAATAAAACAGAGAGCGAACGAGACAACCAGTGATGACTGATCGGATCCAGACAGATCAACCACGCCGCAGCACGAGGGACGCTGACAGCGATATGACAGTAAACGCGCGTCCTTTTTGTTCCTCGGATCAGGGGAAGACGCCTCCACCTCCAACTCCGGAGGCGCAGCAATGGAGTCCGGTGAGCTCCAGCGCCGACCCGGGCCGTCCGTCGGCTCCAAACCCAACGGCCGAGGGGGCTGGCGCGCGGCGTCCTATCTCATCGGTAAATTCCGCAGATCTTGACTCGGTTTTGTTTATCACTGTCATGCGAAACTAACTTGCTCTGCCTTAACCGTGGCTCTGCAGTGGTCGGGTTCTTGGAGCGTATCGGCTTCTACGGCGTGCAGGGCAACCTTATTATGTTCCTGACCGGCCCGCTCGGCATGACCACGGCGTCCGCGGCCGCCGGCGTCAACGCATGGGCTGGGACCGTACAGGTGCTGCCTCTCGTCGGCGCGCTCGCCGCCGACTCACGCCTCGGACGGTACCGCGCCATCGTTGCCGCCAGCGTGCTCTATCTGCTGGTTAGTGCTTTTGGAATTGGACGACTGCTGCACTAGTTTGCTCTTTTTTCGTGCAGATCTCAAATTTTCAATCCATGTACGAGGTGTCACTGACGACTGACGCTCTGGCTGAACTGCTGAAGTAGCACTAGTGAGACCGAACTTTGCAAATTTTCAAAAATATATTTTTTGCAATGATTTTTTATTGTGTTATGTGGAGTAGTGGAGAACTAGCTTTATTTATTGTAAATCATTGTTGCATTTCTCCGTATTTGGGTTCGGCGATCGGCGCTTTTGAAGCCATGTCTGACTCTCTGTTTCCGAACTGCAACGACGGCAGAGCTTGGGGATGCTGACGGTCTCATCCGTGCTGCAAACAGCGCAGCCTCACCCGGCGAGCTCTCCACCGTCGACGTCGCCTGCCCGCCTCGCCTTCATCTACGTCGCCCTCTACCTGCTGACACTGGCACAGGGCTTCCACAGGCCGTGCGCGGACCAGTTCACGCCGAGCGACGGCAACCCAAGCCCGCGCGCGTCCCGGAGCTCCTACTTCAATTGGTTCCACTTCTTCATTTCTTGGGGCTACGCGACGTCCACGACGGTGCTGAGCTACCTCGAGGACAACGCCGGATGGGCCGTCGGCTTCGGCACGTGCTAGGCCACGATGGTGCTGTGCCTCGCCGTCTTCTTGCTCGGCGCGCGGACGTATCGTACCGAGCAGCCCGTCGACGACGGGAGCCCACTGGTTGCGACCATGAGCGCATGGGCTGCGAGGTTCTTGAGACGCAAGGACGCCACTAGCACGGAGCGGTGAGCATCCGTGAACTTCTGCAATCTGACATGCGCCAACTTCAGCGCCTTAGTGCAGGGTGCCCTCCTTCGTTTGCGCAGGCTTCTGAACAGAGAGCCTGACGAAGGCAAAGGGCTCTTCGCTAAGCTGCTCCCAGTATGGCTGAGCGGCATGGTCTACGCATCCCTCACCTCGCAAGTCTACACTCTGCTCACGCAGCGCGCTGGACCGGCGCGTCGGCTCGGGCGGCCTGACTGTAGGGATATACCCGTTATCCACGAGACCAGACATGGACCGCGTCCTAAAGTGACCCAGCCCATAAGATCAAAGCGTCACCGTAAGACTATATAAAGATATAATTTATTGTATAATATCAAATAGGATATTTTTCTAACAACCCTACCCTTCCAGAGTATATAAGGAGAGGCATGGGTCTCTAGACGTGATATATTGAATCTGATACACAATCAATACAAAATAACAGAGCACATGATGTAGGGTTTTACGTCAAGCTGACGGACTGAACCTGTATAAATCTTGTGCCTTGTGTCTCTATTACCATCTGGTTCGTATCACGCGCACCTCCACCGATTTATCTACTATCGTGGGTATACCTCTCGGTAGACTGCCGACCAGATTTCGTCAACAGTGACGCGCCAGGTAGGGGGTGTGCGTGCTGATCTCATGGTGAACCAGATGGCGTACCTCAAGGTCAACATCATCCACGACAAATCGGCATCTGCCGGCAGCGGCGCTCGATGTACCGATCGGCAGCATGACGCCCAGAAGAACTACATCTCTACGTCTCCATGCCTCGGTGGCAACGAGCAACACCCCTTGCGCCGATGTACTAGCGGTGGTGGATGTCGCCGAGTCCATATGCTGATACCCCCTCCACGCTGACAATATCATCATTGGCTCGATCTCATGTTGACACGAGATGCAGTCATCAGGCCTTAGCGGCGGCACCTATTAATGCGGCTCACACCATCGACTCATCATCGTCGATTCGCCGGTCCCGCGGCATCCTTCGTAGTCGCATCTCGCTATCAACATCGTTGGCTCATCTACCACGTCGCCGGACACAATCTAAAGGAGAGCGTACATCTACAAACAGACATGCAATGATGCTCGTTAGCACTTTCAAGATCCGACCCCAGCTTGAGATCAGCACGTCCAGCTGCCCATTAAACAAGCTAAGCTATATTTTTGTTTCAATTAAATATACGACACATGTATACCTCCTGTACATCTCCATTTGTCTGCATGGCAATTATTGGCAGGAACCTAACTACGTCCCTCGCCAACAATGTGGATCCTGTCGTCGTCTCGCGGTGGCCCTTTGTCAGCACGTCGCGGCTCTTGTTGTCGTCCCTTGTCGGCGGCACTCGTCGTTCAGTCCTTAGGCCACATCGATAGCTCGCCGACATCGCCTGCTCATCGGCGGCTCTGGTCATCGACAGCATGGACCTCGTCGTCGGCTCCTCGTCATCGACAATGGCTAATCCAGCACGCCGTTGATAAGCTCTCCCGAGTCGAACATGATCTACATTACCAAGCAAGCAAGGCTAAGGTGTATATGTGTATGTGCATGCACGAACAATTCATGCAAACCACGTTCGACTACAGCTACTACGCCCGTTCGACTACGACTACACGTATGACTCCGCGTGTTCATCCGACTGCATCGAGCAGTCCAAGCCTGCCATGCAGCATTGCTTCTCCGACTAGATTGAATGCGGCTACGACAATGATCTCTCCGCATCTGATCTACCTAAGGCCGACCAGTGGCGTAAGGACGACATCGCCCGGACTACTCGTTCCGATTGCCTGCCGTGTCGCAATGATCGCCCCGTAGAATGGTACTATGACGACCCGGACCACTGCCATGACGACAGGCTGGAAAGCTCGAGGGCCGGGCAATTTCGTCGACGCCGACCAGATAACGTCATACGTCGTCGATCAGACATTTTGACTAAAGCTAAGTACCTCTACTATATTTGCATTTAATACAACTTTCTCCAATTATTTTCTCCGAGTTTTCGCCATGCTCCTCCAATTATTATTTCTCCGATTATTTTCCATAATTAAATGTCTCCACATTTAATATCTCCGTGTTTAAGATGTTCCATAATGCAATATCCGACCAGTTGATCGGACTATTCGGCGCTCACTTCTACTCGGCGCTCACTTCGCCGCCGACTAGTTGGTTGGGCTGCTCGGTGCTCGATTCTTCGCCAACCAACTGGTCGGATTGTCTGTCGCTTCATCATCAGCTACGCTTAAAGAGAACCAGATGGGAATTTTCCATCATCATCACCATCTGCGGCGATGACTTGGCTTCGTGAGACGGCGATCTCAACTCAAGGCTCTAAGGCGCATCGCTCTTCGTAAGAGTTCTTCGGAGGTCCAACGCTGTGCTTCGTCGGCACCAATCAAGGAGACGGCTACATGCGGCAAGCCAGCAGGATGCAGGTGAACTTCAAGAATTTGGCTGCATCACCCGACATCGACTCGTCATCATCCTTCGGCGGCGCTCGTCAACCCTCAACGACGGCTCGCATGGTCCTCACTATTGACTCGACATTACGAGGCAACTCACGGCGACGCATTGTGTCGGTGTTTTGAGTTACCGACGAGTAAATTTGTATTTGCGCGTTTGGCTCGGATGGTGTGCTCAGAGGACATGAGATTTATACTGGTTTGAGCAGAAAGTCCCTACGTCCAGTTCATCGCTGCTGCTCGTGTTACTAGTACTGAAGGTTTGTAGTAGGGGTTACAAACATGCGAGAAAGGAAAAGGATCCCAAGTCTCTGGTGGAATGAGTGAACGGGTGCTGAGAGCCTGAGTGCTGCTCAGTCGTGTGCTCATGTCATGCTTTTGTGCGGATCTGGATCTGCTCAGTTTTTGATGGGTCGATCCCCTTCATGGGACGTCCTGCTTTCCCTTTTATAAGCCAAGGGAAAGCGTGGGTTACAACGGAGGAAAAGGAGAAGAACGAGAGAGAGGAAGGCTTCCAGGATCACCGAGTCCTTCTCCTTCATGCGGGTCCCATTGATCCTGTAGATATCAATAGGGACATCTCCACGTTGTGGCCCTATCCATCACTGGCGCCATGCGCAGGCATCGTCTACCGGTCATGGCGTTCCATTCCATCCCAGTGGACGTCGTGATGAACTAACGCGTCTGTCAGTGTTTGTACGATGGTTAGGTAGAATATCACCGGCACGCCCGATGCTATTCTTGATGTGAACCCTCAGGTATGGCCCGTTATGGCCAAGGGTTACATCGGGGCGTGCCGATCTCTTCCTTGGTGTCAGAGTTTTGACCCAGGCCCATATGCTGGACCTAGAGTGGTTGGTGGAGGTATGGGACTCCGTCGAGCGAGGCGAAGCCCACGGCCTTGGGGTCGGGCGAGGCAGAGCCCATGGCCTTGAGGTTTGGTGAGACAAAGCCCATGACCTTGGGGTCGGACGAGGCGAAGCCTATGGCCTTAAGGTTGAGCGAGGCGAAGCTCGCGGCCTTGAGGTCGGGCGAGACAGAGCCCGTGACCTTGGGGTCAGGCGATGCGGAGCCCGCGGCCTCAGGGTTGGGTGAGGCAGAGCCCTCCCCTAGAGGTCAGGCAAGGCGGAGCCTGCGGCGTCGATGTCGGGCGAGGCAGAGCCTGCGGCCTTGGGGTCAGGCGAGACGGAGCCCGTGACCTCGGGGTTAGGTGAGGCGGACCCTCCCCCAGAGGTTGGGCGAGGCCTCTCTGCCTTTCTTTAAGGAAAAACCATGGATCGTATCCGACTGAGACTCGAACGTGGGTCGGGATGCCCACGGCGCTCGTGCGCCTGAGTACTGGCCGCTATCGGGCCCATCCCTTTCCACCCCTCACTCTAAAGGTGCCTAGAGCGGTTGTCGAACCCGTCGATGGGCCAACCTTCGAACTCCTAGGCCTAGATGGGCCATAGGAGCATTTTTAGCTCTGTATCCCTCTTACTTGTGATGGGTCATGGCCCGTCGAGGAGGCAAAATGCCCGACGCAATTTTCAAGGGGACAACCATAGGTTACGTGCGCACACCTTGTGATGAGACGTGGTGATAGGTCGTGGCAGGCGTGTAGATCTAGGCGAGCGGTTGGTTTCCTCGCACCCGTCGCCCCTATAAAACCAAAGGGTTAGCCCTCCATGTTTCATACGCATGGCTGCATCCTTACCTCCACAGCCACACTGCCACCGCCAATGCTTAGGTTTCCTACCCCCGTATCTCTGTCGCCGTTGAGCTCACATCCATCCACCCCCACCTCTAATAGATCCATGGTTCCATTCCAATATCACCTTCCAGTGCATGAAGGGCCTCATCCATTGTGGTCTTCTCTACGCACGGACCTCAGTCGAGGAGTGGTTGCTGCCTGGCGATGAGGATTTGCCGTCGCCCTCGATGGCTACATGGTGTCGTTCACCCACTTCCACAAGCGTGGGCTTGCGACCCCCATCCATAAATTCCTCCAAGGGCTACTGCACTTCTACAAGATTGAGCTACAACATCTCAATCCCAATGGGATCCAGCACATGGCGGCGTTCGTCGCGCGGTGCAAAGGATTCCTAGGGATCAACCCCCACTTCGACTTGTGGGGGTATTTCTTGGCTGTCAACCTCTAGAAGAAGAGGGAGAAGGGCGGCAAGTAGAAGTTGCACATGCTGATAGGGTGTGCCAGCATCCAACTTTAGAACAATCAGGTCGACGGGTACCCATCCATGTGGCTCTCGACGTCCAACAAGGGATGGCACTCGTAGTGGTTCTATCTCAAGAATGACGCCGCTGCCCCTCTGCTCGAGTTCACCGGGCGCCTGATCAAAGAGGCACCGAAGCAGTGGAGGAAGTGG